TTTTTAATCTATATATTTTTGTATTGTTTGACTGTTTTTTAATAAGCGTGTGTTAATTTTATATAATGTAATGTCAGTGTTCTTTTAATTAAAAGGAAACATTTGAGTGCAGATGTCTTTATTATAGAATGTCTTTTTTTCCTTTGGGTAGATGCCTAGTAGTGGGATTGCTGGATCAAATGGTATTTCTATTTTTAGCTCTCTGAGATAACTCCAAATTACTTCCCACAGAGGTTGTACTAATTTGCAGTCCCACCAGCAGTGTAAGAGTGTTCCAGTGTCTCCACATCCATGCCAGCATTTGTTGTTTTGGTACTTTTTTATAAAGGCCATTCCCATTGGAGTTAGGTGATACCTCACTGTGGTTTTGATTTTCATTTCCCTAATGAGTAGAGATGTTGAACACTTTTTTATATGTTTGCTGGCCATTATTCTGTCTTCTTTTGAAAAGTTTCTGTTCATGTCCTGTGCCCATTTATTGATGGGGTGGTTTGATTTTTTCTTGTTGATTTTCTTAAGTTCTATATAGATTCTTGTTATCAGCCCTTTATCAGATATGCAAATATTTTCTCCCATTCCGTAGGTTGTCTGTTTGCTCTAATGATAGTTTCCTTGGCTGTGCAGAAGCTTTTTAATTTGATCAAGTCCCATTTATTTATTCTTGTTGCTGCTGTGATTGCTTTGGGGGTTTTCTTCATAAATTCTTTGCCTATGCCGATGTCTATAAGAATTCTCCCAACATTTTCTTCTGGAATTCTTAAGGTTTCATGTCTTAGGTTTAAGTCTGTTATCCATCGTGAGTTGATTTTTGTGAGAGGTGAGAGGTGGGGATCCAGTTTCAATCATAGGAATGGAAAAACAAGCACCACATGTACTTGCCATCAAATCGGTACTAACTGATTGACACTAACATGCACACAGGGTAGTAATATTCACTGGGTGCAGGTCAGGTGGAAGGGAAGTGGTAGGGATGGGTAAACTCACAACTAATGGATGTAGAGCACACCGTATGGGGGAAGGGCACGCTTGTAGCCCAGGTTTGAGTGAGGCAAACACATCATGTATAACCAAAATGTTTGTACCTCCATAATATTCTGAAATTTGAAAAAATAAATTAAAAAAAAGAAAGCAAACTAGAAAAAAAAGAAAACAGAAGTTTCACTGTAATAAATCATAGCTGTATGATGATAAAGACACAAAAATAAAAAATAAAATGAAAGTAAAGTTTTTTTTAACCTACTTGTAGATGAAGAAGTTATGTATAAGTTAGTTTTCTGGAATAGAGTAAACTGAATTAGACATAAGGCCTAATTCTGCTTCTATGCAAACTTGTGTTCCCTACTTGCAGCCCTGTAGTGCTGCCAATATGGTAGCCACTAGCCACACATACTTACCAAGCCCTTGGACCACAGCTAGTTCAAATTTACAGGTGCTATAAGTGTAAAATATATGATGGATTTCAAATACTTCATATAAAAAAGAGAATGCAAAGTATCTTCATCATTTTTTATGTTGGCTACATGTTGAAATTACATTGTGGATATAGGAGTTTAAATAAATTTAATCTATTTCTTTTTACTTTTTTTTATGAGGCTATTCGAAAATTTAGGATCACATACGTATCTCACACTGGTGGTTTGAAATAGCTTTCCATTGGACAAGGCTGCTCTGGTGGCTTTCCATAACACTTAGAGGAAAAGTCAGACCCCTGACCATGACCTAGAGGGCCCTTTGTGCCATCTCTTCTCCTCCTACTCTCCCCTTACTCACTTCGCTCTGGGCCTGCTTGTTGTTCCTCAGCTATGCTGAGCCACGGCCTCTTGCTGGAATATGTTGCACCCTCATCCTTGAGGCTCCCTCCCTGACCTCATTGAGGTCTTCTCTGAAAAGCCCTCCCTGACCACCTTCCGTCTGCCTTCTCTGTCACTTTGTCCTGCTCCCTTGATCTTCATAGCCCTTATGGATACTTGAAATTATATATTTATTTTTTTCACTTGTACATTGTCTCCCACACCAGAATTTAAGCTCCTCTGGATTATAAACCCCATTAGAGGTTGGAGCAGGATGTATGTCTTATTTATCATTTCTTTATTCTCAGCACCTAGAACAGGGTCTGTGTGGTAGGTGCTCAAAAAAGAAAACAAAACTTGAGCAAGGCACATTTAACAATACTTTCGAATGTCATGTGCCACATTATCATGGCACTCGGATCTTTGAGAAGATGTTGGGGAGATGTTGATCAAGGATACAAAATTTCAGTTAGATAGGAGGAATACGTTCAAGAGATCTATTGTACAACATGGTGACTGTAGTTAATAACAATGTATTGTCTTCTTTAGAATTGCCAAGAGAGTAGATTTAAAGTGTTCTCACCACAAAAAAATATGTGAAGAAATGCATATGTTAATTATCTTGGCCTAGCCATTCCATGGTGTATACATATCTCAAAACAAGTACACGATAAATATATACAATTTCTATTTGTCAGTTAAAATAAATAAATACATACAAGTTGGAAAAAAAATGTTGAGAACCACTGTTTATGTGAATTATTTCATAAAGTGAGTAATCAATTCAGTATTATCTGTGTGCCAGAAGACCTCTTGCCTTAGTCCTCAAGTACATTTATAGCTGCCATTTCATGTTAATAGCTGACACCCAGGTTCAAGGACCACCCTTCCGGGGTTAATTGGTTCATTTCTTTTCTCCTAAGCATAGCAGAGCCATGTTTTGTAAAGACATACTTACAAAACCCGAGCTCTCTTGCTGTATGTACCTCTTGCTGCTTGTTCAGTGTGCCCATTCCTAAAGGTAACACAGCCAAGAGAGTGGGCAGCATTTTAACTTTTTCAAAAATAAATCCTTGGTATATCAAATTTATTAGAGAATTTAGAAGGCCAAATGAATAAAGTATGCAGAAAAATAAGATCTGGATAGGTAAGATAACAGTATAAATACCCCCTTAATAGTTTTAAATTTTAACCAACCTGTGTTATTTTTCTTCATTAGCGTTTACTAGGTTTCTTCTCAGACTCCACATCATTCAATATTTTGATGGATATGTTATTTATCAAGGGTAAATATGAAAGTAAGTACTGCAATTTATGTTTGCTGTAAAATTCTGTTGTCTTTGCTGTAGTAATTAGGGGGAAAAAATGGACTATGCAGAAATGATCTTTATATTCCTGATGAGTGGCTTCATTGTGGAGACCTCATTCTTGAAGTCTGAAAACATTGCATTGCATGTCATGCCTAACCATCCCAGATTTTACTTATGCTAAAATTATAGCAGGTGTTAAAATATTAGTTCCTCCCGAATGATCTGATGATTTTTTTTTAACATTTAGGTAATTGCTAAATGACTTTGAGAAGTAGCTTTTATTGTGCTGAAATACACTTTTTAGTAGATGGTGCTGAACAGATTAGGACTTCAGCAGCCAAAAGTAGAGGAACTCTGACCTTGCTAAAATGCATTTAATACTGCTGGTCCTCTCCTCATTTTTGACAGGTGCTTCAGAAGTATTCATAGAGATGAAAAACCAAGGTGTGAAGTTCACCAAAGATACCTATGTCCTTGCTTTTGCAATTTGCTACAAACTGGTAAGACTATTTCTCCTTAACTTTTAAAGCATTGTGAGTGGTGTTTGAGAGAGGATTTATTTATTTATTTTTCTCTCTACAAATAAAATTCAGTTCCTCTGAAGTCTGTTTTCCATCTGGTGCAAATATTTTAATTTAAAATGTATTCATTTTTAGAAAGCTCAAGTTAGCCTTATCAGACAGTTTTATTATGGGAAAAGTAATTTTATCATTTTTCACCCTTCTCTGGCGATCATGTGGATAGTGAGAACAAGAGGTGGTATGTTGGGTTTAAGCTGTGCTTTAGAGTCATCTTGCATGCTGCACTCTGCCAGATCCATCTTCCCTGTTGACCTTTTCTGTGGAAATCTTCCCATCCCTGAGTAGTAAACTCAAGGACTACTTTGTCCTCATCTGTAAAGATTTTGTAATCAACAAAGCTAGAAGTGGTGTTTATTTCCTCCAAATATCCCTCCATTGTGCTCTGTTTGTATCACCTACCTGGTGCTTCTAACACAGCCTGCTGTTGTACTTAGTAGATGCAGGATCCATTTTCCTCACTTTAGTATGAGCTCCTTCAGGCTTCTTTGTATCCCAGCACCTAACACAGTGCCTAGTACCCTATCCATTTTTAATAAATATATATGACTTTAAAACGAACTCTTTGAGACCATAACTTATAAGTCCTTATATCATTATTGCACCAGGATTGTTTCTTGCACAAATGAATGAATAATAACTGAAATAGTGAAACGACCAAGGTTCAATGTATTACTGTAGCCTGACTTTGGAAACTCCTTATACTGAAAACAAGGAACACCAAGCAAGGTAGAAGAAAATGGGCCATGAAAAACTTCCCTAAAGAACGTAGCAATACCAATTTTCCAAAATAAGAAGGGTAGCTGGGTTGCAGTGGAAAGAAAATCAACTGAAAATTGAGAAACTTGGAGTCTAGTCTCAACTTTAGTATTATTAATAACTGGCTTAGATAGCTCTGAACTGATCACCTATCTCATTTATAAAATGAGAGAGTTGGATTAGAGGTCAGAAAACTTTTTCTATAAAAGGCCAGATAGTAAATATTTTAGGCTTTTGGGGCCACATAAGGTCTCTGACACATATTCTTCTTTGTTTTTACAAGCCTTTAAAACTGTAAAAACCATTCTTAGCTGTATGCTAGATTTGGCCCCAGGGCCAGAGTTTGCTAACCACTGGATTAGATAATCCTTTCCTATCATACCATTCTATGATTCTGAGAAACAGAAGGCCAACAAAACACACAACACCAGAGCATCAGTTATTCAGCATTGTGATTCCCAGTTTTCTTGTCTATTTAAGGATGGCTCCCTGAGTGTACACGGAAGTGGAGAGAATTTAATTCTACAATTTAGGAAGAGCCAGAGGACTTTTCCTCCCCTGTGTTGTGCCTGAGAATAACTTGTTTCACTCAGTGGAGATGAGTTGAAAAATTGATCTGGTTAGCCAGCACCAATTCCAAGTCAGTTCTGGGAGCTGTTGTCTCTGATCAAATTCAGATTTGATTTTGAGAATTTGAGTTGTGACTCATGTCATGACAGGTAGACATAAGTGCACAGCTGATGCTGTTCTCATAAAGCTAATCCACCTACAACATGCACAGAGGAAGAGGATTTAGTTTTACCATTGCTGTCCTGCAGGTTTTTGTATCACTCACATTCTTGAATTTTTTTTTTAAGGTTTCTGTTTTCATGGGATTCTTTTATAATTTATGTTCAAATTAGTGTTCATGTTTTCAAATATTTGACTTATGTGGATATTTTCAGATTGGAAATCCGCCCAGGAAAAGTTTCCTAGTGTTGTTGGGCCTTACTCTCCCATTTAATATAGTAACAGGCTGACTCTTTATACTTTGAGTTATGGCGTCTGTGTCTAGAAACTAGACTGCTCAGATACAAAGACACATGTATGTTTGCTGGTGAAAACTTCCCCAAGTCAGAAAATTGACAAAGAGCTTTAAAAAGAAAGTTAATTTAGATTTGAGCTACTAACATATCAATAACTTGGTCTGTTTGCAAATGGTATCTACGTGGAGCTTAATCTTTTAAGTGGCTTGAGATATGCTCTGGGAAATTCTTTCAAAAGGAAATCTAATATTGAGACTGTTAGTCATTTTATTAAACTTAAAGGTTCATGACATTTATTGAGCAATTCTGTTTCCTCACAGAATAGCCCTGAATCTTTCAAAATCTGTAATACTTTAAGAGAAGAAGCCCTAATTAAAGGAGAAGTTCTCTCCAGAAGAGCATCCTGTTTCGCTGTGGCATTAGCTCTGAATCAGGTAAGGCTTTGGGGTGCACCTACACAAATTGGGAATAGGCAGGACCTCACTAATTTCATTAGTTCTTGCTTTTGTTTTCCCCCTCCCAACAGTATTATAATAAAAAGTTACCATAAAGAAACCAATGCCTTTGCTGCCATGGCAACCTATATCTGTACCTATACCTGCAAACAATGTTTTTGTTTACATTTGAGGACTAACATATATTTCTTTCTGGAAGGGATTGGCTGAGATCCTGTGGAGAATCAGGGAGGGAAGCTGCACGCTGAGAGAAATTTCTCAAATAATTAAAAGGAACATTTCAAATGATCAGTTTACTTTGTAATATTCTCAGAAAGCAGTTTAATTTAATGCTCTCCAAAGCTGAATTCACCTCAGATGAATGAGGACTCTGGGGTCAGCCCATTGTCAAAGTGGGGTTTATTGTGTATTTCGTTAGACCCAACTACTGTTATTCGGGTGAGGATTTCGTGATCATTTAGCCTCCCCACTCACTGCACAGATGGAGGCAGCAGAAGCCCAGAGAGAAGAGGGGACCTCCTTGAGGTCTCACCTCAGTGAAGGACAGAGTTATACCCGGAACCCTAGAACTCCCTGTTTCCTCAAAGATCCCCTCCTCTGAGATGCCCTATTCCAAGGCCTAAAAAATATGAAATACTTTACACATTTGCTATGTAGTAAAAGGAAAATTTATTACAGAAAAATATTTATAGTAACTAAACCAGATTGTTTACCCACCTGGTAAAATATAGTTGGAGAGCTCTTGTTTATCATTAATTAGAAATCAAAATATGAGGGTGATCCATTACCATTTACTGCTGGGAAAAGTCACTGAAGGACAAAGACTTAAGAGGATAGACACTTACCAGGCTTCCACTGGGCCATGATCATTTCTTTAACTTTCTAAGATCCCTGTCTAATCCAGGGAATTTGTTTTGTCCACTTACTCTGTCATCAGCTGAGTGAGATGAATTAAAGTCTCTTCTAAAGCATATGTTTCTATTTCTTTTTAAGCTCCTAGAGTTTTTCCTTTATTCCTTTGAAGTTGTACTATCTGGTGCATAGATATATTATCGTTATATCATCATCGTGAGTCTCTCGCGTTAGCATTGTAAAGTACCTTTCTTGGTCATGTTTAATGCTTTTGCTCTGGAGTCACCTTTATCTAATATTAATATCTCCACTCCTGTTTTTGTTTGTTTGTCCCTTTGTTTTGATCAAGTTCGTATTTGTCTGATATACAGCTTTTCCTATCCTTTATTTTTGCAATCTTTCTGAATTGTTTTATTTTAGGTGTATCTCATACAGTGTGTAAATTTCAGGTTTGCTTTATATGAATAATATGCTGCTAGTCTTTCTTTTAATATAACCCGTTTATATTAATATGACATATTTGATCTTAGGTCTCATTTTAATTGATGCTTTCTATTTTTATCACCTTTCAACTATCTTATGCCATGTGGTTATTTTCTATATTTTCTGTGGTTTGTATTTTTGCTCTAGTGGATACTTTAAAACCATAATGTTAATTTAATTTTCTTACTTCCCTAATTCGTTTGACAATACCTATTAATTCCCTAATACAAGTAATGGTAGAATTAGCATATTTCCTATTTCCCCTCTTATTTTCTTCCTCCTCCTCCACTACCCAGTTTTAGTTGATATGTTACTTTCATAATGTTCACTTTTCTTTTAAATATATTTGATTTGTCAGCCTTAAGTGATATTTTTTGACTCATAGGTAATGAAGATAAGCAAATGAGAGTACGTTCTGTCTCTTACCTTCTTTTTCCCTTCTCTTCCTACCTTGTATTAGTACTGTCATTTCTTCATTGTCCACGTGTATGACATTAACACTCTGTTCTGTAACCGTATTCCCCACATTTGTGTTAGTCCTATATACAAGATATAGTTAAATAGGCTTATTGTTTACTGCTAGTAGTTTTTCTGTTGTTTTCCAGTCTTCTCTTTGTTGGCTACAGTGTGTCTTCTAGTGAATTCTTTATAGAAATGATATCCCCTGAGTTCTCGATATTTAAAATTATTTTATTTGCCTGTTGTTTTTGTTCTTGAATCACAGGCCAGATTTAAATTTTTGAGGTGACACTTGTTTTCTTGAGGTTTTTTAGGCACTGCTCTTCTACCTTCTAGTATGGGATGTTGCTGTGGAGAAATCTGGGGCCTGCTAGATTTTTTTTCACCTCTGATTGATGTGATCTTGTTCATTTTTCTCGTTTCTGTCCTCTATGTCCACAGAAACATTTTTCTAATTGGGTTTCTTCATCTGCCAGTTATTTTCTTATTTTGTTTTACTGTATTTTTTTTCCTCCTTTTTAAAAATATTATCTTTATGGAGGTTGTGCAGTGGTTCTTTTTTGATTACTCACCATTGAAAGATGCAAGTTTCTCGTAGACCAGCCATTTGCACAAGACTCATGTGGGGTGAAGAGGACACCAGAGCCCTGTTCTAGACTAACAGGATTTTCCTCTGTATAACCCAGAGTGGTGTCTGTAAGTGTGCACAGGCTTCACTTCTTCCTCGTCGGTGGCAATAGGCAGTGAAGTAGTTTTCAGTGAACAGTCTCTGCTATTGCTGCAGGGACACCCCGCTTCCTGTGAATGTGGCTTATCTTCGGAAATCCTTGGTAGCCTCACCTCTGCCATCACAGGATCCAGGGAGGTTCTCCTCACTGGAGAACTACACTCTGGTCCTACACTCTGGTCCCCTCATTGTAAATAGGGATTTAGGTTTTGTCCTGCAGGTTGTGCCCTCGCCCTGGAGAAATGTGCCTTTGTGGGCTCTTTCTGAGACACACAGCAGTGTCCTCCTCTGACTGCTTTCTTCTGAGCCTGCCCAGGCTCCATCTGCAATGTTTCTGACAGTGCTTTCACCTCTGCTGTGGCGTGAGGATTGTGTGTTGTAATGACGTGTGTCAAAGATGGGGTTTGCACCTTTGCTTCTCATGCCTGTGTTTTTAAAGCTGATTCCAATGGGAGAAGGGAAAACGCCAACTTTATGCCTCTACCTTAAAAACCAGACTCAGGCAGGTTGTTAAAACATTCAATGATATGTCACTGGATGAAGCATTTTATGGAATGTTTATTTTTGATTACCCAAAAAACTCTTCTTTGTGGACTTCACAACCCTAGGGCCCCATGAATGGGAATATCCTGCCTTCTCTAAATGATCTGTATGATAGCAGAGTAATGTTCATATGATTTGGGGTATGACTTGTTTTTCTTCCTTCTAGAACCAGGTGGCAAAAGCTATGTCCATTTTTTCTCAAATCATGAATCCAGACAGCATAGCCTGCACTAATTTAAATGTAAGTGACTTCTTTATGGTTTAAGGTAAGCCTTGAAATGTAATAAAATGATGTCTAAATATATTGGCTGTGTACGATGACTCGATCCCTCAGGGTCTTCATTTCATTCAAATGAACAGTCATTTGTGGAGCTCCTCTCTGTGAAAATTACAGTATCACCCCTGTGAGAGAGGAGTCAACACAGCCATTGCTTCCAGGAGTTTATAAATGGGTGTGAAAGGCAGATATGCTCAGAGATAAAGACATGGCTAAATGCTGGAGTATGGGACATGGCTAAGAAGACTGTAGATGTGGAGAGAAGGAGGGAATGGAGACAGACTCTCTGGTCTCTTTACTGGGCCTTGAGAGAAACCTGCATGCTAACTCCATCCCATCCGTGGTACCTAACTCATGGCGTCATTGTGACTGATGAGCTAATATACCTGTGGTGCGTAAAATAGTGCCTGACACATGGTAAGCATTTGATAAATGTTAGCTATTTTCATTTTTATTACATTGCTGGTCTGCTGTGGCACATCCACCCCATTATCTGGGCCACTTGGGTCACTTGTTTGGGGTCTTGTTTGAGTCAGCAAGGGGCTGCACAGATACCACCAAGTTGTGCAAAACCTTAATCTCTGAAACTAAAAACAAAGAAAAAACAAAAAAATTTCTCACAGACTCACCAGCTTCACTCTAATAATAAAGTTCAAAGCATATCCTGTTATCACTCCCAGTGTTTGAGCAATGAGTCACCTAAACCCTCCCAGACCAATTAAAAAAAAAGACCAGTGTTTTGTCATTAAGACACTGTCGCCCCTACGCAGTGACCCCTGTTGAGCCCCTGCTTGCCTCCTGAGTCCATCTGTGTTGTGAGGAGTTGCAGAAGAAAAGCTCCTAACTTTCAAGAGCTTATAGTCTCCTGAAACAGTGAAGGGGTTGAGATGAGGAAAACATTTTCAAAAGAACAGAAATGTGTGAACTCCAGTAATGACACGAATTAGGATAACATCACAGTGGTGGAAGGTTCCAAGATGAGGGAACAATGGGAAAGACAGAGCTGGCGAGCCAGAGCAAACTGAGGAGACCTGGGGAGGAGGTGACTGTTGAGCAGGGTTCTGGGAGGACAGGGCTCTGGGGTTAGAGGACTGGAGAAGAAGGGCGTTCTTTGTTGGGAGATTGGTTTGGTGAGGCTTCTGTTTAAAAGAATATAAACTGGTAACTGTAACCACCTCCTACTAGCTCTGAGTCCTTAGGTAGGTTAGTTAGTTTGCATCTGTGGACCCCAATTTCCTTTGATATGAAACAATAATAGTAATAGTAGCTATCCTTTTTTGTGCAGAAATAATGCGTGTAGTTAGGACGGTACCTGGCACTTAGTCAATATTTAGTGACTGTTTACTAAAAAAAGTGGTATTTATTTGACATGAGTTAAGTTAAATAAAAAGGAATATTCATTTGTAACAAATCCTAGAACCCAATGAATAGGAATTAAACATAACTCCAAGCTTCTGAAAAGGAGTAGTAACACTTAAAGGTAACGATGACTTTCAGTTCTGCCCATAGTGGTTATCCTCAGATGTCACCCCCACATCAGTGCCCAGATGACCTTCTAGAGAAGGACTAAATAAGCCTTTATGGTCAACTTTGGAGAACAAGGTCAAACAAGAAGTCTGAGTTAAGAATACCTTATATTGGACCTCACATGTACTACATGAGGGAAAGATGAGCCTGAGGAACCAGAAATGTGGAGACTGATAACAGAGAACCTGAAAAAAAGAGGTGAGTTTGGAAGGGAAGAGATTAAGTACTAGAAAGATATCCACCAAGAGACTTTTCAGTTTGCAGAGGGCATGAGCCTGGAGAGGGGAACAGTGTCAGAGCTGTCAGTTTAGAACTCATCTGTATACACCTGGTAGTGGATCTGATAGGAGCTCATAAATGCCACAAAAAAGGGGAGTAAGAAGACTCAGAAATGCGTTTATGAGTCATGAATGGTTAGGCAGAGGAAGCATCAGAAAAGACAGACAAAAAATAGCAGCTGTCCAGCAATCCAAGAGGGCTAAGAGCCCTACCTGTCATAGCCGACTGCAGATGGCCCCTCTTCAGGCTGGGGACCAAAGAGGAAACTGCAGGTGCAAGCAAGGGACAGGGGAGCCATCAGCCCGAAAAGCTCACAGGCTAAAGCAGGTCTTGGAGGCCGAGGCTGGCAAAGAATCTAAAAGTTCAGGTCATTTGAGCCAGTGATAGCAGCACGACAAACAGACTAGGAAGTCTGGTCTTCTAGCAGGCACCATATGTCTTTGATCTTCTTTGCTTCCTACTTTATATGGACAGCTCTGGTCTCTCAGCGTATAACTCTTTGTGAGAGAGAGTGGCCTGCAGATGTGCTAATTTCATGTTGGGACTGGATAGAACTGCTGGGATTAGCAAGAGGCTCTTCCACTAAAGTTAAAACTATCAAAGTGGTTCATAGCATCAGGTAGGAAAGACAGGAGAGCATGGGGAGAGGTATTTTATGTGGATCATTGGTAGCTCTTCTAAGAGTTGAAGTGAGATTGGAGGGATCGATAAGGATTGGTGGTAAGAAATTGAAGAGCGTGAGATAGGCAGGGCTTTAATTTAATTTAGCTAAAGTGCCATGCCAGGTACTTTATATTCATTAGTTCATTTTATACAACCCTGTCAAAACAATATTTCTCTATATTATAGATGAAGGTTCAAGGGCAGGTAAATTACCTAAGTTCTCTCAGCTAATTGAATAGCAGAGTCAGGGTTTCAACACCAATTCTGTCTGCAAAAGGTTTCCCTACTCCTGCAGACCGACAGAGATGAGAAGGGTGTGCCTCTTGTATCCAGGACTGGGACTAGTGGCTCCTCCTGAGTAATGAACAGAACACAGAACTGGGTGTCAAAGACGTGATCCCCACTAGTGCATGTAATACACCTCTGTGGATTTAGGTTTCTCATCTCTCTCAATACTGGCCTGTCTTGCAGTTGTTACAAGAATCTGGTAGTGATTTTTTTTTTTTCAAATGAAAAAGTGCTTCAGTGAAGTTAAACGTGGGCCTGCTGAGCATGAAGCTGTCCCTTCCCAGGAGGAGGAGGAACATGGAGCATGATGGAAAGAGCATGGTGCTCATGTGCCAGGCAGCAGGAGCAGCTCCTTTCCTCTGAGGGCGGGAAAGGGATGGAACAGGCGTGTTTCAGGCAAGGGCTGCTGCATAAGGAACCTTCAACTGATCTTGACTGTGAATCATCCTTTCCATGAACTGTGTCACAGAATTATCCACTATCGAGAAACTTAAAGATTATTTTATTATTTGAAAATTCTCAGAAAATTCTTCCAAATGTTCAATGTGGATTTCTCAGCTTGTAATATAAGCCTGTTTCATCTTCCTCAGGGACAAGGAAAAAGATCGTGCCATTCTCAAGTTTAGCTATCGCTCAGATTCTAGGTCTCTGTTATTAGATCACATTTTTAAAAAATGACTTAATGGGCTTTAGCTTCTCCAAGTCTGAGTCATCTACTTGGAATCCTTAAAGGCAATTTGTTAATTATTAAGAAACAGAAACCTGACGGATAGGCTGAGTAGAAAGTGTTCAGTCAGTATTAGCAAAAATAAATGAAGCTTTTTTTCCTGATCTACTTTAAAAGTTAATGCCTTATGCTATAATCTTTTGCAGCTGCCAATTGAAATTTGAACTTACCTAATTTTCTCCCTCAGGTTTTTTTTTTTTTAAATCTAGGTTGCTGCTTCTGCTAATATGACCCAGAGGGCCTGCTTTCCTATTTTCCCAGCTAATACTTAATACATACTACATCAATTTAGCAGATCTCAGCAGAACACATGCATGTTGACACTGCCCTTTCAGTCTGAATTTAAACCCCTCAATCTCAAAAAACTCTTAGCCCCTTTTTAGTAATGATGCTCAAAATCAAAGGATTAACTTCCACTTCCAAATATGTCTGAAAGTAGCAGAGACCAACACATCCACTGATTCTGTTTGAATTCTAATCATTTCTCTAGAAATCTGGCAAGTCTTCAAATGGAGACCCATTTTGGAATTGAATTTACCTTGCAAGAGAATTGACAAGTGGTTTTGCTCCTTTTATCATTTGTTAACACAGGTGAATGTTTCAGTGCTCCGTTCTCCTGCCCACTAAGGTCACTCTAAAGCTCTAGCTTATGCTGGGAAGTCTCCTAGGCAGCACAGGTAGGAAGGGAGACAGACTCATTTCTCATAAATCCCTTTGTGGCAGCATTTTACCCATATGTGTAAGTCAAGAATTGCATTTGGTTGGAAGCAATATAGACTCCAAGAAAACAAGAGCCTATACAAATGAGAGGCTTTATTTTTTTTCCATGTGAAAAAATCAGAAGTGGTCAGTCCAGGTCTCATGTGGCATTCCATGGTGTCATCAGGAGCCTAGCCTCTGTCTGTGTTTCTACTCTACTATCCTAAGCACGTGACTTCCATCCTTTACATCTCTGGTCCAGCAAGAAGTAGGAAAAATGGAAGAGGACAAAAAAGTTGGTCCCTTTTAGAGATGCTTTCCCAAATGTCTCATCCAGCAACTTGTACTTTATGTGTTATTGGCCAGAATTTAATCCCATGACCACACCTAATTGCAAAGACTCCTGAGAAATACAATCTTTGAGGTCCATATGTGACAGCATCAATTAAAGTTAGGGAGTTCTGTTATCAAAGCAGAAGGGGAGAGTGGATATTGGTTAGAAAACTAGCAGCTTCTACTGCACTATGATATTCTACTTCAAATATAGCAAATTTAAAAAGAAAATAAAAGAAGCAAGAAATGGAAATTTCTGCATGCTCAGGGCTTCTGTTCCCTTTTTTGGCCAAAGGTATCCAGTAACTCCTCATCATTTCCTGAGGCCTCAGAAAATCAGAGGAGCAGGAAGTGTGTGTTCTTTAAATAGTTTTCTTAACAAAATTTCCCCTGTTCCTTGCTAATTCAATTTCCCTAATCTTTTGTTTGAAATCTATAAGATTAAAGCAATGTGCTGTGCCCTGCTTTAGTTTTCTTTAATTGCACCCTGAGACAAGCCCCTAGCTTTAAACTTTCTCTTTGCCTCTCATCAGTAGCTGCCTCATGTGTATTGCCCTTCATCAGTGTATTTTAAGGTAGTGAACCTTGTTCTTGAAATCCCTACTGAATCAGATAATTCCTGGAGGCAGGAAGAGAGGTCAGGAAAACTTATGAAGAAACATTGAAATGTTCCAGGAGCACATCATTTCTAGCATAGGGATCCAGGTGATTTATCTTTGTAAATTGCTAGGGGACCCACACTCCGCTTCTTGTTCATTATTATTGACGGTTGGGTGCCCAGCAGTGGAGACATAGCATTCAACAAGGTAGACTTGTCCTTGCCTTTGAGGGGACAGACCACTGCCAACCTGTGATTGGTTTTTATTTAACAAGGGTGTTAAGAACTGTGAAGAGTTGGAGATTTTTATCCCATCTGCAAGCTAATCAGTTAACTTGCCCCAGTTTCATGGGTGCTAGTGGAGTACACAAGACACTGAGAAATGAAGGGCAGTTTAGTATAGCAGTAGCAGTAGCCAGAGTGTTAGCATCTTTGCCATCAGTTTCCTGAGCCCTAGTTCTCTCAGGGTGACATGAAAAGCTCTAAATGCCTCTTGTACACACAGGAGGTTGCACTTTAAGAGAGGAACCCTGAGCTTAGGGAACCCAAATCTCTTATAATGGGCAGTAAGCATGTTTGCCTTTTGCTCTGGATGAGACTGTGTCTGCTGGTTATATAAATATCCTTGAAAAGATAATCTGGAATAAAGGCAGTCAGTGTTTCTGCTGTCAAAATATGCAGAAATTCAAGAGACCCGTGGAGTGTTGTCTTCCAAAAAGGATGTGCTTATGATTTTCCTGTGTTTTAGAACACTGAGTTTAGATCAGGTTCTTTATATTTAGTCTGCATGGGATAGTTTCATTCTGTTTTTTCAGGATCAAAGGTAACCCCTCATCCTGATGAACTATTCAACGAACATAAAATGTTTCAGAATAGACTGGTGAGAGAACATAGATGGTTCAATATAAAAAAGGAAAATCTTTTCCAAAAAAACTACCTTTTGTAAGGATCAAGAGCCTTAAAAATGCTTATGTGCTTTGGCTTAGCAATTTCACCTCTGGGAATCAAGTCTAAGATAGTACCAGTTTTTTAAAAAAATGTATATACACATTGATCAGTATAATAAAGTATAATACATATCCATGATGAATTGCTATGCATTTGTTAAAAATGAGCTTTTCTTTTTTTCTAATATTAATGCTATGAGGAAATAAATGTTCATTGTATAATTGACAAAAAACAGTATCAAATTTTGGGGAAAAACTAATATATTTGGAAGATAATACATCAAATTATAAATAGTGGTTAACATTGGTTGGTGAATTCTCAGTTATTCTCATTTTCATAATTCTCATTTTCTTTAAACCTTTTTCTACTTTTCACATTGTCCTAGTGAATATTGGTAATTAGGGGAAAAAATTGTTATTTTGTTCTTGCATTAATTGTACCTATCTGGTGGAAGGTAGGTGATGGTGTCGTTTTGAAAGCACAGTACAATACCATGTTTTGAAAGTTCCTTAATAGATACAGTGTAAATAAGAGTGCCTCGTTAAGACTTCAGCCAACTTCTGCTCCATGCCTGAAGTAACCTACCTGCCTGCAATTTCCTAACAACAACCACCTATTTGCCCCTAGCCAATCTTAAGAGATTGTTGGATTATCGTTATCTTCTGAATCTAGAGGATAAAGGAAGGGGAAACTAATGTATTTGTTTATTGAGTACCTCCTGTGTGCTGGTGTTTCATTTAATGTTCACAGTAACCCCAAATGGAAGATCTAAATGTATTTTCCCTGTTTTACAAATGAGGGCATTGAGAGTCAGATTAGGTGTCTTCCCAGAGTCACATTGCTGGTATTTGCCAGTGTCTGGATTTCAGCCCAAATATCCAAACACCAAAATCCATGCTCTCTCCAGTGTTACCCTTAAGCAAGTTTTGAAGTTGTGGTGTTTTGACTCACTATTGGAAAGCAAGTTTTGGGTGATGAGCATACATTCAAAGTACTTTTTTGAACTTGTACAAGCAAATAAATTAGGAAAGAGCGTCAAAGCAGGGTGGGTGCCTATAAATGCAGGCTTATCTAACCAGGTACATTTCTCAACATTGAGATACTGGCACAGTCTTATTTTTGCGTGTTTCTTTTTTATATACAGATTGTAATCCATATCCAGTCAAATATGTTGGAAACTCCGATGGAGATACTAACGAATGCTGCAGAAGGAAACGTATCAAGATTTGTGAAAAGAAATATGTTCTCAGAGGAAGTGGTGAGTGTACAAGTACTACAGAAATCATTTAAAAATGAAAGGACACTCTTTAAAATGCCCACTTAATTTCCTAACTCCATAGCTTACCTCCTTAAAGAGATTGTCAAATATGGCAGCCTCTCTTTTGTTCCTATTTTAAGACTTCATGGGCAAATGCAAAGATATTTTTCTTCCAATAGAATATATCCTCTGAAATTCTAGGAAATCTTTTTCCTTTTACATTATTTTCACCACATGGTATTCATGGGCCCTGGCTCTCTTTTTCTTCTGGATGACAATTTTACACCTTTTTCCTTTCCCCTCAAGCCTCGAATACCTTCCCTCCACTTCTCACTCTCAGTTGGTGACCTTGCTTCCTGTTTCACGGAGAAAATAGAAGTAGTCAGAAGAGAAGGTCTGCCACATTGACAGCCTCTGGTGCCTTGCCCTATATGCCCACAGTGACTGGGTGCACCTCTCAAGCCAGCCTCTCCAGTCACGCACAAGGTCCCATCCCCTCTGACCCACTCCAGGGTGTCAGTCCAGAGGTTGTTTCCCTCTTTAGAGCATCCTCAGTATCCCCTTTCCTGTGGATCATTCTCAGCAGCAAACAATAGGATACCCTATCTCTTTTATTGATTGATTGATTGATTGATTGATTGAAACAGAGTCTCACTCTGTTGCCCGGGCTAGAGTGCTGTGGCATCAGCCTAGCTCACAGCAACCTCAAACTCCTGGGCTCAAGTGATCCTTCTGCCTCAGCCTCCTGAGTAGCTGGGACTATAGGCATGCGCCACCATGCCTGGCTAATTTTTTCTATATATTTTTAGTTGTCCGGATAATTTCTTTCTATTTTTAGTAGAGACGGGGTCTCGCTCTTGCTCAGGCTGGTCTCGAACTCCTGAGCTCAAACAATCCGCCCGCCTTAGCCTCCCAGAGTGCTAGGATTACAGGCATGAGCCACCGTGCCCGGCCCCTATCTCTCTTCTTTAAAAAAACAAAACAAACAAACAAAAAAAAAACAACTTCCCTACAAATAAAAAGACATACCATGAGTTTAGATAGGAAGACTTCACCTCATAAAAAGTCAGTTCTTCCCAAGTTAATGTGATGATGTAATATGATCCCAATAAAAATACCACTTTGTTTTTTCTGTAGTTAAGGGTTAGTTGAAAGAACAAACAAACAAGAATAGCCAGGAAAACCCTGTGAAAGAAGAGCAGTAAGAGGTGCTAGGCCTAGCAGATAGTAGAGCATGTTAAAGCTTCTATAATTCAGACTAGCTTAGTGCATGAATAGGGCAGCTAATGGGACAGAAGAGAAGGTCCAGATAGAGACTCAATTTGCATATGCAAATATAGTTTAAGATAAAGGCCAATATCTCACATCAATTGGAATGGATAGACTTCTCTAAGAAGTGGTGCTAGGATAAGTAGATAGCCAATGGAAAAGATAAAATTTTATATGTTCTCATACTATGAACCAGGATAAATTCCAAATGCATGAGCTATTTAAATTAAAAAAAAAATTTAAAAACCATACAAGTAGTAGATATAAACATTAAACTGAATAAAGAAGATATAAACTGAATTCTTTTATATTGTGGGAGTGGAAAAACTTTTATCTCTCAGTCAAAATCCAAATCAATAAAAGAAAAGATTGATAAATTTGACTACATAAAAAATTTTAAAACCTTTTTTTTTTGGCATGGCAAAAACACCATAAACAAATTCCAAAGGTAAGTAACGAGTTGGAAGAAAATACTTTGAATTTTTAATCATACAGACAAAAGACTAAACCCTAATATTTAAAGAGCTCTTTTTGAAAGTCATGAGAACCAACAGCCCTAAAGAAAAATGGGTGAGATGTGGACAGAGTTCACTAAAGACAAATTGTGAATGGCCTTTAAACATTTGAAAAGATTCTCAGCCTTGCTCATATTAAGAAAAATGTAAAATAAAACTACCCTATGATATTTCTCATACCTCAGATTAGTAGAAATTTGAGTTTGACAGCATACTCGGTTGGTGAGGCTCTGAGGAAATGGGCCCTATCATCTTACGTTGCTGGAGGGAGTGCAGATTGGCACAGCCCCTGCAGAGAGGCACTTGGCAGTGTCTAGCAAAACTACAGGTGAATTGACCCTTTGACTCAGACTTCCCACTTCTTGGAATCTATTGTGAAGATACACTGGCACGGCGGGCGTGGTGGCTCATGCCTGTAATCCTGGCACTCTGGGAGGCCAAGGTGGGAGGATTGCTTGAGGTCAGGAGGTCAAAACCACCCTGAGCAACAGCGAGACCCTGTCTACTGAAAATACAAAAAGACCCTGTCTCTTTTAAAAATAGAAAAATTAGCTGAGCGTGGTGGCTTGCACCTGTAGTCCCAGCTAGTTGGGAGGCTGAGGTAGGAGGATCACTTGAGCCCAGGAGTTTGAGGTTGCTGTGAGCTAGGCTGATGCCACGGCACTCTAGCCTGGGCAACAGAGTGAGACTCTGTAAGTAAGTAAGTAAGTAAATCAATCAATCAATCAAACAAACAAACAAACAAACACTGGCAAAAATAAAGAAGTTATATGTATAAGTCTATTTGTTGCAGGCCAATTTGTAATAGCAAAAGACTGGGAAAACATTTCCATCAGCAGAAGACTAGTTGAAGAAATTAAGGTGTGTCCATACAAAGGACTGCTATGCATCTCAAAAGAAATGAGGAATAGCTACAACATTACACTGCTATGGACCACTATACGAGATATATATGGATCACTTAAATATGTTATTAAGTGAAAAAAGCAAGATGCAAATCAGTGTGTGGTATACTTTAAGAAAGGGGAAATACTCACACACACACATATATTTAGATTTTTGAAAAACATAACAAGTAGAAAAACTAAAACTTAAAACGGTTATGCTGCTTTCTTTTTCAGATTGTTCAGATAGTTTGAAATAATGTATATTTCAAAAATGCCAAAAGAATAGACTTTTAATGTCTCACCACAAATAAATGATAAGTTGGTAGGTGCTGGATATGTTAATAGCTTGATTGAATCTTTCTACATTGTGTACATGAATCAAAACATCACATTGTACTCTATAAATATACACAATTATTAATATTTGTCAATTAAAATAAATTTTAAAAATTTAATGTAAAATAATTTAAGAAAACAGTTATGAAGGTGAAGGATAGAAGCATGACTTCTCCAAATAGAGCTTGTTTGTATATTTGACTTAGGAACCATGGAAATGCATTGCAAAACTATAAAACAAAATTAATTAAAAATGAAGACAAAAAGCAATTCCTAAAAATTGAAAGCAAAATGAAACAAAGGAACCATGTATTATATTAATGGCTTAAATATACAAAGAGGACTTATTCTAGGATATTTGAAATATAGTAATTTGTACATCTCTAGTAGCATATAACTTAAGGTGAAAAAAAGAATTGTAAAGAAACTGTAAATTATTGACAGTGATCATATTGTTAATACTGGTATCATCATTTTGACTAACCAAGTGGCCTGTCGGTTGGTCCTCCCTTCCTCCCTTCCTCCCTCGTTTCTCCCTCCTTCCTCTTCCTTTTATAGTTTGGTCCAGGATGACTGCTGAGATGGCAGAATTGGCACTAGAGGGCAGTGGCTGCTTCCCCCTGCCACACTGTCGCCTTCCTAGCCCTGTCCCATTTCCTCATTTCCACCCAAAGGCTTCTTCCTGCTGATAAAAGGGAGCTTGTCAGGAAAATGACTAACTGGATATGATTAATGTAAGGCTTCTTTCTATTTGAGGTCTCAGCTCTGTGTTGGTTATTACCCACCCAGACCTTTTTTGGAGTAAGTTTACAAAAGCAGGGGAGCTGGAAGTATAAACAGATTTCAAAGCGCACAGTTGCTTGTGTGTGCATGCGCGATCATGTGAAATACTGATACAACTTTAATTTTCTCGACAGCGTTGGTGTTAATCTTTCCTTAGACCTGATCCATCTATGTGTTGTCACCCATTTATATGACTAAAGTGTCCAAACAAACCCCCCATGGAAAAATACTGATGTAAGACTCTTTTACTTAGAAAACTAACCCTCTAGTTCAGTGTATTCTCCCAGGTTAGTGTGAAACCACTTAGGGAACTGCTTAATGAGAAATGGATTGATTCATATAACTCCAGTAGCTTTTGAGCTAGTTCTAAATATGTGTCTGTGAGATTGTGTGTGGTGTCTTATGTTGTATGAGTCTGCATTTTACAAATGCTATGTTGAGTGTTTATACCAACAGTTATTAAAAATGTGTTGTGTGGAGATAAGACTATAAACTATCATAGGTGCTATTATACCACCAGAGGAGTATTGAAAATAATTGTTGATTTTCTGCAATTCTGCTACACTATCATAGGTGCTATTATACTACCAGAGGACTATTGAAAAGAATTGTCAATTTTCTGCAATAATGTTACTGAAACTGCTCAAATGTTAGCTGTTTCTTCATTGATTTCTTTTTTTCGACTAAATTAACAACAAATATGGTACAATCCTTTTCCGCTTAAATTGTAGAATGGTTCTAATGATGCCATTTAATATTTCTGTAGTTATATAACAGAACTGGTACAGTTTTTAGATCAGAGTTACTGCCAGCTTGCCATGCTTGCTTTGCTTCTTTTGGAAGCCATATGCTGCACATTAAATCATTTCACCTTGAACATGAGGACTTAACAGGCTTTTCTTTTTTAAGAACATTAAGAAATGCTTAAGCTGCTTGTCTGAAGGTTTGATTGGGAGCCCTTGTTTGAAAGGAAGATGTGCAGGTATCAAATATTAATAGTATTATATATTTAGAAGATGACCAAAGGGTTTCTTAGGAAGCTTGATCCCAATTAAGTTTCATCAAGAAATGTTAAGTTGTATCCTTAGTAAGGATTGAACTAAGTAAAATATTGATTTTGTTCAGAAAGTAGCTTCACATTCTAATTTCGAGCTTACCCATTTTTGTAGAATTAAATACCATTCAGATACTTGTGACTCTACTATGTATACCTCTGGTGTAGACCTCTCCTCCACAAGCCAGACTTGTATATCCAACAGCCTTCTCGGCACGACCACTTAGATGTTTCACAGCCATCTCAGTCCTGTCCAAAGCAGAACTCTTGATTTTCCCCTCTAAATCTGGTCCTCCCTGCCTTCCCCATCTCAATAAATGACACCACCCATCTTCCAGTTACTAAGGCTCAAATTGAGAAGATAACTTTGACTCCTCCCTTTCCTTCACCCTGTCAACAATAAATCCTGTTAGTTTAACCTCCAAAATTTACCTCATGTACATCTACTTCTCCATCTTTTCTGTACATTCCCCTATCTAAACCACCGTCCTTCCTCATCTGGGCTATGATGGGAGCCTCTGGAATAGTCTCCACATTTCTGTATCCTCCAATTCATTGTCCAGACAACATTTTAAACCTAAATCAGATTGTGTTCCGCTTGACCCTTGGATGGCTTTTTTAGAGTACATTTCAAAAAACTTACCATGGGGTTATATAGAAAGCCCTGTGTAATTTGGCCCTGCCTGCTTCAGCGCTAATCCTTACATTGAACAAAGTTGATTCCATTGGTATTTGACCTCCTTTCCATGCTGTGTGTCATTGTATAGTGTGTGTCATTTGAGCCCGCTTTTATAAGATACGAGGTGTGATTTTCAAGTGCTAGTTCTGAATTGCGTCTGTAGCTTGTGGAGTGTCTTATAGTCAGTGATGCCTCCATGTGCCTGAGTACTAGGTGTATACTATACATTTTTACCCGTCTGTCTCTTCTTAGAGTATGGAAGGAACAAGGAAGAACTCTTGCAGAGACATAACGATCTGCTTTTACTTCTTTCTAGCTGGCCAAAGTGAGGGAAAAAGTGAAGGATGTGCCTGCCCTTGTGACCAAATTTGATGAGATCTATGGGAAACTGCACATCAGTGGCCAGGTCTCCACTTACTCTTTGGATGCCCTGCTCTGCTACACCCCCAGGGACAAGAAATTCCACATGTTGCCGTTGAACAGGAAGACAATCAGCCAGCGGACCTTGCAGCCACTCAGCAAGTCCCTGTTGGCCGAGTAACCCTAGTTGTAATCCACCTGTGTATCTGAGGGGCCCACGTCTAGTGAGTTACTGGCTTCCCTAGGAAACCAGGCATCATACTTCAGTGGACACAATGCTAACAAATTCCCGAGTTCACTGAGTGGTGGCATGCTGATCTGAGAAGTTATGTTGTGCCACTGTGAGGGTCTAGATGAAGCATAGAAACCTCAGCTCCTTTAGAAAGAAGGCATCTTCTGTGTACAGTGCTGAGGACCCTTGAGGGAACATGGTCACTGTCTCCAGTCCAGCTTCTGGTACCCGAGTGGAACCCATAAGCACCATCAGGAATGAATTTTACTACACACTGGTCAACTCTGATTTTCAAGGGAGTAGTTACTCACAAATTATACCCTTAATGAATTCAGGAGGTTCAAAACCATATTCTACCGTGTTAGAAAATAGCCCAGGATTTTCTCACTGCCTTGCCTTCAGATTTTTCTTTCCTTTCTTTTTTTTAAGACAGGATCTCACTATGTCACCCAAGCTAGAGTGCCATGGCATCAGCATAGCTCCCTGCAACCTCAAGTTCCTAGGCTCAAGCAATCCTCCCACCTCAGCCTCCTGAGTAGCTGGGACTATAGATGCATGTCACCGTGCCCGGTTGATTTCTTTATTTTTTGTAAAGATGTAGTCTCGCTATGGTGTCCAGGTTAGTCTCAAACTCCTGGCTTTAAGTGATCCTCTACCTTGGCCTCCCAAAATGCTAAAATTATAGGTGTGAGCCACTACTTGCGGCCCACCATCATGTATTTCAGTGACCCAAAAGAAGATACTTGAGCCCTCAATTTTTCCATCTACAAAATAATAGTGCCTATGTATATTTGCATATAGATTTGAAATTTTTATTCAAGGTTCAGTAGGGTCAAATTTTCTGAAAAATAAGAAATAAAAAGGTTCCTGAGCAAACTTCTTGGGATTGTGCTTGTTTTTTCTCAGCAGCACAGACAAAATCAGAATTTAGCTTTCAGAGCTGATAAGTAAGCCAAATTTAAATGATTACTGCTTTGGTCATGCATAAACCCTGTACTTTTCAAAGTAAGTGCCAATAAAAACTATATAATATTAATTTTCTGTATGGGTCATAAATATTTGGTTCTGTAGTTTAACTTGTTAATGATCTTTTTTTCCTCTTGGATGCCTTATATTTTGTTGTAAAAATAAACATATCATGAGAGCAGGTCAAAACTTCTTCACACTTATGGTTTGAAATATAGCATCTGGTGACTTTTATCGTATCTGGTCACCAAAGTGCAGAAGATACACAGCTACTGCACCTCAGTTGTGCCTTTTGTTTCTGGAGGCCCAGACGGATGTTCAAATCTCAGCTGCTTCTAAAACTAAGTCTGTCCTCTTTATTGTTATTCTGAGGCGGGGATTGTTCACAGAATCAGAAATTTTAGACTAGGAAGAGTCTTCTGAGTCTCCTAGTTAACTCCTTCGTCTGTCAGGTTGAGGAAATGACTTGTCCAAATTGGCATAACTAATTTGTGGTGGAGCTGAGGTTAAAATCCAGATTCCTAGTCTAGTCTCCTTCCCACTATACCACAGTATGCCTCTTCAGAGGGGAAAAGGAGAATCTTTTAGACTACTAAGGGCTCCCACCACTTACTGTGGCCAGAGGCTCACCTCTGTGTCCTCATTTGGTAAATGGGGGTTACGGTGCCCACCCCACAGGCTTGGTGTGAGGATGAGATGACATGGTGAATGCGAAGCAAGCAGACAGTGCCTGGCATGTAGTAAGTGCTGTATGTTTGCATCTAGTTAAGGAAATTACATGAGAAAGGGAGTTCTTCCTCCTGCTCAGGAATATGGAAAGAATTGCTTTTGCTTGTGCTCTGCGAAACATTAGCCTCATTTAAGGAAACAAATTCTACGCTTTCATGGAATCTTAATTGCTTCTCTTTGTGTCTGGTGTTTTGGAAACACACACACCAAAAAGGTGTTTGGATTTCTCTACCTTTAGTCTTAGGGAATAATAAGGCACACTTTCCCAGACTTACTGACTTATTGAAATGGCTATAATGCCCTGGGTGAATGTGGCCTTGGTTGTTAGCCAACAACCATTCATTAGCAAAATTTAAGAAAACAAATTTTGTGAGCAATAAATAGCAACAACCTTCCCAATCCCTGCTCAGCATCAGGTGGCAAAAAGGATCGTGCTACCTGTTCCCAGAAGCCTTAGTACAGAGGTAACTATATAATGTTACTACAAAATAATAGATGATTCTAAAATCTTTTTTAAAAATCAAAAAGTGTTCAATATAGGTTATGGTGGGCATTTCATTCTTTAAAATTTGGTAATTCCTTTGAAAAAATGGTGTTTCTTTGTAATTGGTAATTTGCCTAAAGCATCTACTTATTCTGTTAAAAAGAGTATTTGATTGGGCAGAGCATCTTATTCCTCAACTCTGCTATGTGGCTTTGTAGGTTACTTTTACTTACTATAGATGTCTATTGCTCCAAAATCCCCAAATCAGGAATAATAAATAAATTTCTATTATTTATAAGCAATCCAGTTCTTGGGATTTTGTTATAGCAGCCTAAAGGGACTAAGACAGTCCCAAATCCTCCACATTTATTTTATTTTATTTATTTTATTTATTTATTTTTTGAGACAGAGTCTCTCTCTCTTGCCTGGGCTAGAGTGCCGTGGCATCAGCCTAGCTCACAGTAACCTCAAACTCCTGGGCTCAAGCGATCCTCCTGCCTCAGCCTCCTAGGTAGCTGGGACTACAGGTACGCGCGACCATGCCCGGCTAATTTTTTCTATTTTTAGTTGTTTGGCCAATTTCTTTCTATTTTTAGTAGAGACGGGGTCTCACTCTTCCTCAGGCTGGTCTTGAACTCCTGAACTCAAATGATCCGCCCGCCTCGGCCTCCCAGAGTGCTAGGATTGCAGGTGTGAGCCACTGCGCTCGGCCCTCAAATCCTCCACATTTAGACATGACTCCAAGTTTTTTTCTGCCCATTATGTATCCTTTTCTCCTCCCACCTAAAATGCCCTCACTCTTCATCCATTCTGTTCTGCCCACTTCTCAAGGTCCAAGTCATGTGTCACCTTTTCCATGAGGTATTCTCAAGCTGTTTAAACCCATGTGGATTCTCCATACATTTACCAAACTTACACTGAGCATCTAAAAAGGACAAGGCACTGTGAACAATGGCAAGAGCTATGATCAGTAACATTTGATACACATAAGGAACTGTGGTGAACCAAATCATTGTAAAATCGATCCCAAGGAAATGATTACAGAAAAGTAAAAATGTAATGATATTTTTAAAAAGGAAGTGGTTTAACTGTATTGTACAGAAAATGAATCAAGGACTAAATGGTGCAGGGAAAATTGGATGCCACGTGCAGAAGAATGAAGCAGGACCCATATCTCTTGCCATATACAAAAATGAATTCAAGATGGATTAAAGACTTAAATGGAAGGCATGAAATTATAAAAATTCTAGAAGAAAATGTAGGAAAAACTCTTCTAAACATAGGCCTAAGCAAAAAAATTATGACTAAGACCCCAAACACAAATACAGCAACAACAAAAATAAATAAATGAGATTTAATTAAATTAAAAAGCTTTTGCATAGCAAAGGAAATAATCAACAGATTAAATGGGTAACCTACAGGATGAGAGAAAATATTCACAAACTATACATCTGACAAAGGATTAATAGCCAGACTCTACAAAGAACTCGAACAAAATAGCAAGAAAAAAACTAACAACCCCATCAAAAAGTGGGCAAAAGACATGAACAGAACTTTTTCAAAAGAAGACAGACAAATGACCAACAAACATATGGAAAAAAGTTCAACATCACTAATAATTAGGGAAATGCAAATTAAAACCACTGTGAGATACCCACCTTACCCCTGTCAGAATGGCCATTATTAAAAAGTCAAAAAACAACAGATGTTGGTGTGGACGTGGTGAAAAAGGTACACTTATACACTGTTGGTGGGACTGCAAACTAGTACAATCTGAATGGAAAACAGTATGGAGATTCCCCAAAAGGCTAAAAGTAGACCTATCATTTGATCTGTAATCCCACTACTGGGTAACTACCTGAAGGAAAAGAAATCATTTTATCAAAAAGACACCTGCACATGAATGTTCATCACAGCACAATTCACAATTGCAAAGATATGGAATCAATCCATCAATTCAGGAGTGGATAAATAAAATGTGGTGTGTATGTGCGTGTGTGTGCATGTGTGTGTGTATCATGGAGTACTACTCAGCCATAAAAGGAAATGAAATAATATCATTTGCAGCAACTTGGATGGAACTGGAGACCATTATCCTAAGTGAAATATCTCAGGAATGGAAAAACAAGCACCACATGTTCTCACTAATAAGTGGGAGCTAAACAATGGGTACACATGGGCGCAAAAAGACATAAAGGACGTTGAGATCTAAAAAGGGAAGAGGGTAGGAGGGGAGTGAGGGATAAAAACTTACCTGTCAGGTAAATGAACACTGTCCTGGTAACATGCACACTGAAAGCCCTGACTTCAGCATTATACCATGTATCCATGGAACAAAAACATTTGTACCCCCTTAATATTTTGAAATTTAAAAAAAGAAAATGAATCAAGGTATTAAATTGGCTTAAATGGCATTAGCTCTAAAAGTATCTTCTCAACAAAAATTGATGGATATTGGCGTAATTCTAATTGAAATATATTTTATTCATTAACATGGAGCCAATGGATTTTTTTAAATGCCCTCTGTTACCATGAAGCGTGCATTCTACACAAGGAACAGACATTAAAAGGATAACTGGGCAAATGACCATATGATTGCAATTGGCATAAGTGCCAGGTTAGTACTCCTACCACCCTGTGGCATACAAGTGGCATGTGTGTGTTGTACATATATAGACACACACACATATAATAAGAGGAAGACCTTTTCTGGTCTTTTGTACTACCAGTTGTCTAGGTCATTCATTTTAACAAAGTACACTGCCTGTGATGTTCCAGAACTTTTTCCCCTTAAGTATATCTATTCCCTAACGAAGGACAAAGTATTCTACACTTGTTTTATATGACTCTGAAGTGCCTATGTAGCATATAATGCATGTAATAGGGCCTTAATATTTTTTAAAATTAATTAATGGCAGATTTTAGTTAGTATGTACAGTCTGCCACAGTATTCTTTAGATACCTCATAACTTTCTCGTAAACCATTCGCTACTTCTATCCCAGTTTTACATGACAGAACCAAGACACAGAGAGGTGGAATGACCACTCGTGCAGGGGTCCTGGGCTGATGAGTGCATCCATACACTGGACCAGAGCCCCTCTAGCTACAGTTTTGCATCCATGGGGTTTTCTTCCAGCAGTCCCAAGCACTCAGCTAATCTGAGAAGAAAGTGACTTGGGGGGAAGGAGATGAGGGGATGGGCACAGGGTTCTGGATGAAACTTTCAAGCTGCTAATGAATAAGGATCAAAACATTGCTGCCTCC